TCATCAGACCAGGCAACATTTTTCCAGTCTCCAACTGTCCAATTTTGTGAGCTCTTGCAAATTGTAGCCTCTTTTTTCCTATTTGTAGTGGAGATGAGTGGTACCCGGTGGGGTCTTCTGCTGTTGTAGCCCATCCGCCTCAAGGTTGTGCGTGTTGGTGGCTTCACAAATGCTTTGCTGAATACCTCGTTGTAACGAGTGGTTATTTCAGTCAAAGTTGCTCTTCTATCAGCTTGAATCAGTCGGCCATTCTCCTCTGACCTCGAGCATCAACAAGACATTTTCGCCCACAGGACTGCCGCATACTGGATGTTTTTCCTTTTTACACCATTTCTTTTGCAACCTTAGAAATGGTTGTTGTGTGAAAATTCCCAGTAACTGAGCAGACTGTGAAATTACTCAGACCAGCCCATCTGGCACCAACAACCATGCCACGGTCAAAATTGCTTAAATCACCTTTTTTTCCCATTCTGACATTCAGTTTGGAGTTCAGGAGATTGTCTTGACCCGGACCACACCCCTAAATGCATTGAAGCAACTGCCATGTGATTGGTTGATCAGATAATTGCATTAATGAGAAATTGAACAGGTGTTCCTAATAATCCTTTAGGTGAGTGCATGCTATTCTTGAAGCCACAAGTTACACAAGTGCAGCTTAATTATTATATTACTTATATTTTCATAGGGGTGAATTCAGGTTGATCGGGACACTATTCCTCAGTCACCTCAATGGCAAAAAGTGTCCCAATCAACCTGAATTCACCCCTATATAATAAAGTTGGCACTTCCAGTTGCCTAAAATATGACAGTGCTCATGAGTGTTTCTCAGAAATGATTTGGTAGCACAAACTGTACTGTACTGAAGCAGTTTTTCACTTCTCAAGCTTTTTCTCTCTTTCCTCCTGTCAGCTGGTGAAGAACTGTAATGATGGAGCACGGAGGATGGAGCGGACGGAGCAGATGTACACCATCCAGAAACAGATGGAGTTTGGTAAAATCAAGGTATGGCTGATAAAAGACACATTTAATTTCAGTTGAGGCCTAGTTTTCAATATAAAGTTTTGCAGTAATGACATACTCTTGTGGAGCGTCACCCTGTTTCCCTCGACAAAATCCAAATACTTAATATTTTTCCATTGGCTTTTTTGGATTATTTCAGAAAATAAGGTCTGTGAGTAACAAAAGCTTATTACTTTTACACTTTTTGTCTTTAGTCAAACGTCATCACCTGAACAGGAAAACTCATCTAATGTCCTCGACAACCACTTTTAAATCATCAAGGCTAGTAAAGCTTTAAAAATGACATGAGGGCATAACTGATGTATTGTACATCATACAATAAAGTGTGAATATATCTTGAGCTTGTTTCACCGCAGACCTTTTTTCAAGTATTTTACTAAAACCCTTTTAAAAAAACCATTGACTTGAGGACGATGGGACCTGAAGTGATAAACACTTGTTTCCAGGTTTTGTCCCACAAAATACTTGAGATTTTTTATATATATAAGAAAACTAAAACCTTTGCAACCACTTTGATTTATTTCTGACTGAATAAAAAACACTTTACAATAAGGTTCATTGTTACTATTAGTTAACTGCCTTAGTTAACATGAACTAAGAATGAACTAATCTTAATGTCAATTCAACATTTACTAATACATTGTTAATTAATTAATTCATTACATTTTTACATTGTATTTTATTGTTACTGATTTTATGCATCTAGAATTGATTGGATCATAAAAAGTGAATATTACATCCCAAGTTTATGGATGTAAAGGGTTGGAAAATGAGTGAGATCGGAAGAAGTGGGGCAAGTCAATTGGATAGACGAGTGCAAAGACCAACTCGTGAGATCAGGAGATTTCTTTTAACAAAGAAAGGATTATTTCTCGAACCTACTTTGTATTTAAAATCTTTGTCATACAGTAGTGTGTCTCTTACACTTCATGTATGTTTTTAGCCTTTCCCGTTAGTGTCGTCGTCTCGCTGCTGAAGAAGAGTGGCGAGCTGGCTGCGTACACTGATGATCTCAGCATTTTCAGGAAGGCGTTCGGCTACAAGAGCTTCTACCTGTTCCTCTTCAATGATGTGCTCATCGTCACAAAGAAAAAGAGGTCAGACCAGTGTCGCCGTACTTCATTCAGTATCCACTCAGTCAACACACAGCACTCTTTTCAGTTAATAATTCTGGCGTTGACCATGTAACTGTTTCAGAAGTATTTCCAGTGGCTTGGGCTGTTTTCATCAAGACGCTTATTCTGTGGCAATAGGAAGTTGTTTCAAGGGATAGTTCACTTTGAAATACATTTTTTTGGTATGTTTTAGCTTACCTCAAGGGCATCCAAGATGTAGGTGTCTTTGTATCCGCAGTAGTTTCAATTTTGATATTGTCTATCAGTCATATAATGGAGGTCTATGGTCACCACCTCAAAGTCCAAATTGAACATGATTTAATGACTCGTAAATGTAAGTACACATTGATGGCCTAAAACACGAAACGAGCGGTTTGTGTGAGAAAACGAACAGTATTTATATCGTTTTTACCTCTTGTTACCTCAGCCACAAAGTGCTCGCGCCCTCAGATCACTTGGATGTGGCTGTGGTTACAAGAGGTAAAAACGATATAAATACTGTTCGTTTTCTCACACAAACCGCTCATTTCGAGTCTGAGGCCATCAATGTGTACTTACATTTACGAGTCATTAAATCATGTTCAGTGTGGACTTCTCTGTGCATGCTCAGTGAGGTGGTGACCATAGACCTCCATTATATGACTGACAGACAAGAACGGTTTGAACTAAAAATATCAAAATTGAAAATACTGCGGAAACAAAGACAACTACATCTTGGATGCCCTTGAGGTAAGCTAAAACATACAAAAACATCATTTCAAAGTGAACTATCCCTTTCATAACATTGACGTACACAGAATTCAAACGCGGTTCAAACTGAATCATTCAACATTAATGCAGTACTTTCATTGAATTGTGCAGTTAATGTGCCCAAATCTGCATTAGTTGTCATTGTATCATTGATTTGTTTCTTACATGACCGATCCTGCACTGATATCTGGGCTTGCAGAATTCAAACATTCAGAATTCAAGACCCCTTCTGTGATGAACTTCTTGCATACTTCTTACTGCTGAGACTAAAAACAGACTTTCATCTAGTCAATTGAAAATGTAAACATATATTATCTATCAGTATTTGCCAAATGTAGACAGAACATAGCCTTGAAAATGGGCATCATTTACTCGCCCTCGTGTCATTCCGAACCCATAAGACTTTGGTTCATCTCTGAAACATCAGTTAATGAATATTATTATTATTAGGTGTTCAAGATAACAAAAATTTTTGTTATTTCGTTTTTTGTCCAAAACCCACTTTTGCGAACTAGTCCCTGGTTTTTTGCCCAATCGGGACCAAACCAGTCTAGGCCTATTCTCTGGACTCTCTAGATCAATAATTATCGAAAAAAAAAAGTTGAAATTTTGCATTTGGTTGGCTGTAACAGGGTCATTTAGATAGTGGTCTGTGGCAAAATTCAGTCCAAAGCCCCTAAATCCCCCCCCCCCAAAAGTCACAACTTCACAAAAATCTATGAGCATATGTGTCCTAACATGGTTAGGAAGCATGCAAAGTTTCGTGAGGATCAGATCATAGGTGGCGCTATAATCGTCAAGAAGGTCTCTCATTATTAGGTGTTCAAGCACGAAGTGGTGCTAGAAAGAGAAAAAAAATCCCCTAAAACGCATCGTGCAGCCCAAACCGTAAGGGCTGGAGCTCTGAAACTTTGTCAGATGGTAGGGCCTCAAATTGTGGAGAAGCTATCAGAGTATGAGCCCGATTGGCCCATAGGTGGCGCTACAGCAACCAAAGTTCCTCCGCAAAGTTCCGTGAGGATCGAATTATAGGTGGCCAATGAGTGGTGTTTTACTGCCCGCTGCTGTTTAAATTACTTTTTTTTTTCACAATACTCAACTATAATTCATAGTATAACTTTAGCAATTCAATCTTTTAACATTTAAACAACATTTAGTAAAATGACTGTGATCCTGAAGTTGAAATGAGTGTGTGAACTAAACTGTAGTAAATCATTTTTAACATGGTAAATTATGATAAATCATATTGGAACATGGTTAATTATGTAATATCACACTGAAATGTAGTATATCATGATAAATCATGCCTGCTACATACAACTTAATGTCTTTTGATGCTTTTGTGCTTAAATGCCTTAAAGATCTGAACTGCTTGAACACTGATAAATGCTGCTTGCAGCTTTAATTATTATTATTATTA